CGTTTAGACCTTAGGATTGAACTCAGTTTGTTCCGCGAAAAAATAAGTACATTTTCAAATTCAAACGAACCTCAAAACATATACTCAGTAAATCAATATTTTATATTTTAAATTCTCCGTTTCAAGATGAAATTGCAATAAATGGACCATATTATAAAACAAATATTGATTCAAAAACAATATTTCAAGCTCATACCCAAAAAATTGATAACTCCAAGGATGAATTCGTAGTTACCAAAACTTGATGGGTCAAAATATCAATTTTACTCTTTTTAATTTTCTAAACATCCTCAATCTTCACGAAATTGCTGCCACCATAGATGTCTGCTTCTTGGTTAATTTCCAGTCCTTGTTCAAAGCTGAACCACCATCTCCGCTGCCGTAACCACCGCCTGATTCTCTCGCCGGCGTTCTTATTTTCCGGCACCGGGAAACAAATGGTCACCGCTAGCAGCAGCGCCAGTAGTAGTTCAAATAGAGGTGCATTTACAACACTCAAAGAAAGAGTAACTTTTGAGAAAGAAATCAAAAAAAGCAAATTTATTGCCATTTCTGGTCATATTCCAGATGAGGGCTCTGCTCAATCTTTCCTTTCTGAGGTACCCTTTAGTTTTTTGGGTTCATTTGGTTGTATTGAGTGTGTAAAAATTGAATCTTTTGCATTTTTTTTTTTGATTCTTGAAATTGTAATCTTGAATTTGTTTATGAGGATTGTAATTACTGATTTGATTTGATTTTAGGTACGAGATCCTCGGGCTACACATAATTGTTGGGCGTACAAGGTATGTTCTTGTGGCCAAAATCATGTCTTTATTGATATACAACTTATTCAGTGTAATTCCACAAGCGGGGTATGAGGAGGGTAGAGGAGTGTGTGTCCGACCTTGAGAGTAGAGTGTATGCAGACCTTGAGAGGTTCTTTCCGAAAGACTCTCAGCTCAAGTGCAATAAAACAATGTTTTTATTGCTATATCCTTTTATGTTAGAAGTATTTGGGAATTGACGAAGAAAAGTTGTTTTATATCATAAACAAGGAGCTGCATTTGTTGAAACATTATTAAGCTTATGCTATCGGTATTGTGATTGAGGTATAATTGATACATTGCTTGATTGAGAACATATGGTTGAATTAGGAATTGTTTGGTATGAGTGCTATATTAAGTGTGTTCTCCAAGTATAAATTTGGATTGAATCTATCATATGTTTAGTTGAGGGTATTACGTATAACCAAGATACATATGTGGGATAGATTATCTTGATTATAATACCAGGAATAGCCTAGTTTTGAACCAAACAACCCCTCAGTGACTAGCATTTTGTGTCACAATTGCTTCCATCCATAATGATAACAACTGCTTCTCTTTATATGGACATATAAGAAACAAAGTTTCTCTAGTTTTAGGATTCTCCGAATTGTGTATATCATTCTTGGCTCTTATCTTACCATGCCAAAAATGTTATTATTCATTCTATCTAGGTTGGTGAACAATATCGGACTAATGATGATGGCGAACCATCTGGTACTGCTGGCAAGCCGATACATTCTGCAATTGCATCCTCAGGATTGGATAGAATCATGGTGGTCGTTATTAGGTACAGCGTTTATTTAGTAGATAACGTTGGTACTTTCAGAATTTTGTCCGAGGCGATGTAAACTAGACTTGAATCACGTGCCTAAATTGGGAAATGTTTCCAAGAAGTGAAAGCATGCATATATCTTTATCGTGTTTCTTTTCTGAATCGCAGACACTTTGGAGGAATTAAACTTGGCACTGGAGGTCTAGTAAGAGCTTATGGAGGAGTCGCTGCAGAATGTTTAAGAAATGCTCCTACATGTCTTGTAAAATCTAAAGTAAGAAATTGCTCGAGCAGCTTTTATCCCCCGTCTCCCTTGCTCATTGTGTATAGGCATAGGTTCAACTGCACGTTGATCCTATTCTTCTCGCTACGTTATGTGCTTTTAGCACAAACTTGAGACCTACTCATTGATTAAACAATACTTTTTGGTTTTAGGTGCCGATGGGCTTGGAGGTTCCTTTTGAACTACTAGGAGTCCTATACCATCAGGTAAATTTGATCTTTGTGCTAAAACTTCTACAGTTCTACTCTTTGCGGTTCAATTTGTTTGTCTTACTTTCCTTTTAGTCCGTTTCCGAAAGAATATCTTTTTTTGGCAACTTTTTACTTTTAACTTTCCACATGACATATTTAAGATCACAAGATTAAAGTGCACTTTTGTAAATTCTACATATCTTAGCTTAGCTTTAGACCACAAGATTCGAAAGTCTTCTTTACTTTCTTTAAACTTTGTGCGAAGTCAAAACTAGACAAACAAATTGAAACGGAGGGAGTTCTTATATTTGTCAATGTTGCGCTATTCAGTAATAGTTTTTCGATTTTTCAGTTTTCATTCTTTTTTCGGTTTATTCTCTGAATCAAAAGCTGATGCTTCAAGATCATAATTGGTGCACATTTACTTCTATTAATGCATTTCTGGGAATTTGTTTCGTTTTCACAGCTACAGTCATTCCAAGCAGAAGATATCAAGCAGGATTATGATACCGGGAAAGATGGAGTCACCATGGTGACGTTCAAAGCTGATTTTGACCGTGTACAAGGTTTAGAAGAAGCTATTAAGGCCAACTGCAGCCGTGATATTGTATTCTACAAACGCTAGAATTTTTCCGTGTCACTTTGTCTGATGGTTTCAAGTCCCATCCTGCTGGAACTTATGGAGATTTGAAATACCTTTTGCTCCAGAAAGCTACATCTCGAGATGGTTAGTATCATTCGCTCATTCTTGAAAGGTTCGTAGCATTGCTCTTGTTGACACCAATGTCTGAGCTGACTTTTTCGTCTCTTTTAGTCTTTGTTCTGTAATTTAGGAGTCGTTATAGGAGACGCAAGCATGAGATTGGTCTGTCCTCATTTGCTCTTATATCCATACAACTTTTAAAGATATATACTTGTACAATCTTCCCCATACTTCTTGTTTCTGGATTCATGAATAAGACATGGATGCTCTGTTTGTTTCGTTAGTATCTGTTGTTTCTTGTACTTTCGTTACTTTCTTTTTCTGTACTAAGCTTTGGATTGTTTTACCTGCTAAAGAAATTGAATGCTTGTAAATGGCATTTTCTTGGTTTTGCCAATGTTATTATTGTTTCATGGTTCTTAAATATTCAAAGTTTAAGCCATTCTATTAGGTCAGCATACTTATCCTCGTGAAATTAATTGAGGTGCGTGAAAGCTGATGAATCAAATTTCAAAAGGAACTAGTGTATTCGTTCAGATTAATGATTTTTTGATAATGTGTTTTTACTTTTCTAATATTTTTTACTTATAAAGATCACTAAGATTCAACAGCCTAATTATTCTGCTAGCACTTTTGCTTTCCTTTTTGTTACTTCAGCTCTAGCAGTTGATGAGACTAAATATCTCTTTTTTAAGTTGTTGTTTAAATTTTTATTCCTATTATTAAATGTTTTATAAATTAACTTTTAGAAGATTTACATAATTTTGATAGAACAATATGCTATATTTGAATTTAATATTTATTCATATGTTTCTTAACCTTACAAACTAAACACTAGGTGATGTATAGAATATTTACTAAAGATTTAGATTATAGTATTTTTATATTAATTTTTATAATTATGTAAAGTTTAGTTTACCTTTAGTAAAATGATTGATTTATTTATTTCGAACATTTCAATTGTTCTTTATATTGGAGTCCTAATAATGACTATCGGTGCTCTTTCCACCTAATAAAAGAAGATGACTATCATCCAAAAAAAAAAAAAAACTTCAATTATTTCTTACGTTATATATTAGGTTATTGATTAAAATTTCAAATATTACATCATTTTATATTTCTTTGGAGTTGATTTTGTCAAATAATTTTGACTTCAGTCACTTGAGATTACTATAGAATCCAAAAATATAGGCACCAATATTCCACGTGTAAGGCCTCAAAATGCACCACGTAGCTTAAGCTAAGCTTACTTGTTTTCCTTTTTCTTCTTTCAACTTCCATAATCAGTTCGTCATCCAATAGATAAAAGTTTCTAAATTTATGCTTTTTCATTTTAATATATACGTTTTTATTTATTCAAAGTCCACAATAAAGTTCTGATTAAATCTATATCATATTTTACGAGGTTTATTTAAAGGTTAAACTCTTAATATGATTTGAATTCAAAATCGTTGATTAAGGATGAAATAATTTCACTACTGCACGATTAAAAAATTATTAATTTTAAATATATTTTATTAAGATTTGACTCATCAATTTAAATATTAAACAATAATCTGTCAAAAATGTTATTAGCAAGACAAATTCTAGTTGAATTTATGTCAAAAGTAAAAAAGGAAATATCGATCTTGTCTAAGTGTGTCTTAATCAGTTGAAAATTCCTTATTGGCTAGTCCATTTGTTAGGAAATAATAACGATTTTCTGATAATGAGTCTTACTTTTTTTTTATTGATCTTAAACACTATTAATAGATGAAACTTTCTATAATCAGAAACTTGTTACGCCCTCCGTCTAATAACGTTCGTCATAGTTTCTATTTTTAGAGTTAAAATATAAAAATTTTGACTGATATTTTTAGATGTATTTTTCATCATATTAATATGCAAAAAATTATAATTTATCATACTTTTCATATAGTTTTAGAATATCTAATTTTTTTTATTTAAAATATCAAATTAATATAATCTAATTTACCTTTGAAAATTAGTCAAATTAACTTTCGATAAGCGTAACATGACAAAAAATTCTGGAGGAAGGAAGTAATTATTTCTATATCATACATAATGTAAAATTTAAAGGCATTTTAATATATTATATATCTTTATTTAAAGATTATAATTTTTTTTTTTACTTTCATAAGATTATAATGAAACGTCGAGAATAGAGTTTTAGATCCAGATCATCACGAAGAAATACATAAGATTTTATGTCTTGTAGTGAGATTTTTTGAGTATAAATTTAGGCTAAGTTGTAAGCCAATTCCATTCCACTTTCAAAAATCATTTCTTTGTTAGAACAAATATGAAGGTCAATAATAGCCTAATTGTTCTCCTTGCCCTTTTATGTGCTTTTCTTTTTGTTGCTTCAGCTCTAGCAGTTGATAAGACTAAAGGTAAAGGTCGATTTACGCAAATATCTCTTTTTTCGATTATTATTTAAATTTTGTATGTTCTTTTTAAAAATAAAACTTTCAGAAAATTATACAATTCTGATCAAATTATGTTAGGACTTGAATTTAGTATTTACTTAGTTGTTTCTTAGTTCTTACCTAATAAAAACTAAACATTACTAGAATATATTTATATTGTTCTTAAATATATGGATCTATTGACCTTCATAAATATAGCTAGTTACTTTTTGTTTCGTCTTCAATGACATGTTTGTAAAGATAAAGACAGATAAGTTTTTTAGATTACACTTTTTCTGAGTGACTAGATTTTGAATTAATATTTTAAATATATTTGGTAATGATTTATATATATATATATATATATATATATATATATATATATATATATATAGAGTCATGGAAAATTTGACCAATTAAGTTATTGGACTTAATTGAATTTTAATCTTCTACTCTACCTTCACCTATGCATGCACTCATCTAACTATAGAAAGAGATCACAACTAAGAATATACTCTTTTAACGAATATAACACATTTTAGTAAAAATTTAATATTCAGTCAAATATCGTCATATACTACAGAGTAAAAGATTAAATTTGCATGAATAGTTGTTCCATGCACTAATGAGAAATACTATATGTTGTATGTAGCAACAAATGAAGGACAACTAAATGATGAAACACAAGGCCATGGTTGGGGCGGCGGAGGCGGCTGCCATGGACGTGGTTGTCACGGTGGTGGTGGTCACGGAGGCGGTGGCAATTATTGCCACCACGGATGTTGCGGTGGATATTATCGAGGAGGAGGGTGTAAGCAATGTTGTAGAACCGCTCAAGAATATTCAGCTTACAATATGCAAAATGATGTTAATCGCCCTTAAATGCACAACGTATAACGACTTAATTCAACGTTCATGATAAATAATGAGAGCTTAGTGCACTATATTGTCTTTGTTTTAATGTTTAATTAGGTCATGTAACGTTCTAGCTAGCTAGCTTACGCTAGCCTAATGTTGTTCTATGAGTAAAATAAAAATCACAATGCAGTAAATATGCAATAAAACATATATCTATGTTATATATGAAAGAAAAATTATATCAATCTATAAAATAGTTTCATCAACAATTTATTTTACAACTTTTCTTAGATTAATAAATTCTGCAAGAGAGATTTCTAGACGTTCTAGAACGAAAAATTTTACTTCAATAATTTCTCTAGACTAATCACATTTTTTTTTTCAATCATATAGTTATTATTAAAGTTCTTGTCAAATAATTTAATTTTATAAATAATCAAAGTGAGAATATATTTAGTGATAGTCTTACTATCACTCTTGTATTATGAGAGTTACTAAAATTCTTATCTCGTTTATTTTCAATCTGCCTTTTATTATAGTTTGATATAAAATTGTCCTTAATTTTAATAAGAAAACATGTGCACAAACACCAAATCAAATGACCTGCCAATTCTAAATAATCGATTTACTAAAACACACCTATTTAACTCACAATATAAATTTTTAGTCAAGAATGTAGCTTTATAATAAATATATGAAATAATATTAATTAGGCTCAGATTAAGAAAATCAGCAATGTAGCCGTAGACATAGGAGTAAATTATTGTCACGACCCAAATCGAGTCGCGACTGGCACCCACACTTACCCTCCTTTGTGAGCGAACCAATCAATACAAAACCCAACATTTCGAATATAATAACACAATATAATGCGGAAGACTTAAACTCATTAATGAAAATCAATAATCAACTTCTAAAACTCAAACTTATCATTATCCCCAAAATCTGGAAGTCATCATCACAAGAACATCTATCCTCAAATTACTAATCTAAGAGTATCGAAGAAGCTAAAATAAGTAAAAAACTAGTCCATGCCGGAAGTTCAAGGCATCAAGACATGAAGAGGAAGATCCAGTCCAAGCTAGAAGCA